GACACAGCGGAAAATTCTATAATACGAGGATACATGGGAAGGCAACACTAAACCCCAGTTCCATAGTCTCATGGCATCCGGCATCCTTACTTGCCTATAGGAACATGCATCTGGGCCCCACCCAGAAAGCAAGCCCAGATCATGAGGACTTTTAACTTCCTGGCTGAGCTGAGGGTATTAGAAAGGAGATCCGGATGGCTGAGCAGATCTCTCTGAAGCACAGCCCTGGGTCTTGTCATCTTCCTGCTTTAAAAATTTCCATGACTCCCCAGTTAAGGTCTGATTTCCTTCTCCTTGTGTCCAAGGCCTAAACCTACTATTCAGAGATTCATTTCTCACTGTTCTCGTTGTTCCATAACCCAGGTACTCTCCTGCGTTCCTACCTCCCTTTCTTCACTTAGCCAATATTTACTAGTGCTTTCTATGTACCTGTGTGCTAGTCCTTTCTATGTACAGTCACTGTGCTGGGCACTGGGGAATATGGTAATGCGCGAGCCAAGCAGGCCAGTGGGCAGACACAGACAAGTAAACATGACAGTGTGGGAGGTGTTGCAACAGGATAAAGTCCAGGGAGCTGTGGGAGCACCCAGAAAGGCATCAGGGAAGCCTTCCTGGGGGAGGTGACCATGAGGTTAAGCCCAAAGGATGAGTGGGAGCTAATGAGACACACAGGGTGGTAATAATGAAGAGAAGGGACACGGATAGGAAAAGCTTGGGGAGAAGGAACAGCATGTGCAAAAACTCGGGCACAACTTTGTAGTTGTGCTCCAGGGGGTGCCATTCAGAGTCAATGTACATGGTGCCCTGAAGTTGGACAACTCGGCCAATTTGGGCAGAGAGAAAGCAGTGAGTTCCTGGAAGTGAGAGCAGGCCGGCTTAGCTCAGTAGACTTGGTGACAAGTTACTGGTAATTAACACATGATACTTGAGAGGTAAGGATGGGGATACCAGGTGAAGGCTGAGAGCCTTATGCTGGGTATTCGTCCCTCCCCCATGGATGCTTATGCCCCCACTTTTCATCTCTTCCCATTGGCATCTTCTATGGCTCCAGAAAGCCTGTCTAGTTCCTTCTGTTGAAATGAGCCTCTTGCTTCCCATCCTCCCATTGCACTGGCTGACTTCTCTTCTGAAAGGTCACACCACTGCCTTGCTCCAAGTTCCGAGGTCTGATTGACACCCATCTCCACCCACCAGCTCCTTTGGGGCTGAGTCTCCCACAGTTTGCATCACTCTCACCTTCCAGCCAAATCAGTGGGTGTTTAGGAACTGTGTGGGGAATGAAGCAGTGTTTCCCATACTTCTGCAATCAAGCACTGCACTTATATAAAAGGAAAGAGGAAGAGAGCCAGCACCCCTTGCTTTATGTACACATATTTACGCATCATGACATCTAACCTTTATTAGGTGTTTACTGGCTGCCACACTGTTCACGACATGTTACCTGTTTTAACTCCTTTCATCTTCAGCGCAACTCTATGAAGTAGGTGTTCTTTTTTTTTAGTCTCCATTATATAGGTGAGGAAATTGAGGCACAAGGGTGAAGTAACTTGCTCAAGCTCACATGTACTGAGCTAGCAAGTGGTGCAATTAAAAGTCAAATGTCCACAGTTCCTAAGATTGAGCACATACGAAAATAAAACTTTTGTAAGTTAAACAAAAATAAAATGTAGTCTCCCTTAATACGACCACAT